AAAAACTGCAAACCTGTCACTTACTTGTATAGTGCTGCATAGTACCTATCCGACACAGTCTGCTGAGAGTCCATCACTTGGAACAGTAACATCAGGGCCTGGACACTGGTACTGAAGTTCACAAGATGCAGGACTTTAAACAACGTGTCCATTTGTTCTTTCACTTTCTCATCACCAGTCTCAGCGTAAGGGTAAGCTCTGTTTACGCCACAAAGAAGAGCACTGAGCATTTTGGATTCAACATCTTTTTTCTTAATGCAGTTCCGAAAAAAGCAGAAGTACAAAGTTATCAGCTTGTTAGCCAATGCACTTTCTTCGTGACTGAGGACTACCTGATTTAGAAAGCAAATGGCATAATACTGCGTTTTCACGTGAATGTTTGAGCGGTACAAAAGCCTCTCCACCTCGCTGCACACTACTCCCTTCATATTTGGATGCTTGTGAAGTAATGTCTCTAAAAGATAAGAGGCTTTGGTGGCAATTTTGTTCTGAGGGTCTCCCAGTTTATTTACCAGCTGAACAAGCAGAACTTTCTCCTGCTCAGGCTTGTTACAGAGAAGCTCATGGGCAACTGCCAGCGCTCGGGATTTCGTTGCTGTCAGAGAATCATGGCTCAGTGTTTCCAACGCTTGCACAAACTCTGCCACCTGCAGTTTCAGGTGATGCTCAAAGTACCACAGTATCAGCCGTCTGTCTCTTGAATCCCTGTTGCCACTCGACATCTTCTCGATGCTGTTAAATGGTCGCTGCGAGAAAGACCATAATTTTCGATTGTCTGGTAAGAGATCTGAAATGAGAAGCTCCTTGAAAGTATCCAAAGCCATGAGGCTCTGATGCCTGCTGCCCTTTTTCTTTATGAGGTTTACCAAGTTCTCAACAAACTGGAGACTGTGGACAGCACTGTCCTGAATGAGAAGGGTCATCGCTGCCATCCTGTCAGCCAAGGTACCCGATGACACAACAGTTTTCATCCACGCCGAAGAGGCCCCCTTCTGATAATCTGTTTTATTCTTATACAGGTCTGTCTCATGCTGGTACAGCTTTTGGGCCAAGGCCTTATACTTGGGCAGAAGCGTCTGATTCTGTGGCTCTGAAGAGAATTCCGTGGTGTATTCTAGATCATACCATTTGCCCCCTGGTTTGATCAGTATCACTTGCCTAGCATGAAATTCAAAATCATCTTCCAGACTCTCTTTCTTTGCTGAAAGGTGCCGGTCCTGATCACCGCCAGCTTGCTGCTTCTTGCTACCTTTCACACCGCTTGCCTTTTCCTTGACTTTTTTTCCTTTTTTCCCTTCTAACGAAGGAGGGTTAGTTTCTTTCTTGCTTTTCTCTTTCTTTGGGGGCTTCTCTTTCTCCTCGCTGCCGCCATCCTCCTCCTCCTCCC